TTTGACTAAACTCCGTGAAGAGAAATTCTGGGACATCAGTGTCTCCTCAGTGGTCACTTGCAAAGCAGAGGAGTAGTGAGGAGTATGGGAAGAGTTCCAGGCTCATCATCCTGAGTGAACACATCTGTGATATTACTCATCCCCTGGGTGGGTGGTTTGTGGCTATTCTCTCTGTACCCTCTGTACCAGACTTCATTTTACTACAGAAACTGAGTGAGGGAGCTGGCCACCAAAAATCAGGACCTTTGCTAGACTGTAGAGTGCTAAATGGTGAAGGTTCAAGGTACAAGAAATCTGCACTTTTTTTTTTTTTTTTTTTTTTTTTTTTTTCCTTTTTTCACTGTTCCCAGGGCTTCAAGCAGTAAAAATAAATTTTACTGAAGCATTACATGTGCTAAGAATAAGCTTTGGGCACATGCCAACTGTGAAAAATTAAAGCTCAAACAGGTGTGTTTTGCGAGCACAGGGAAAATGTTGCTTACAAGAATGATGTACAGAAACTTTTGCAAAGGTAGTTGCGTTCAGCCTGCTGCCTTGTGTTCCCTTACAGTGACAGGTTGTCCTCAGGTGAGGGCAACTCTGCAACGAAGAGACTTAAACCAAGCACTAGAAGACTCAGAACTCTGGGGGAAAATGGAAATTTAGATGCTAACTCTGAGCCTGGGATCTGCTTTGGTACTGATTCCAGTGATGTGAATGGATATCGCTGAGCAAAGGACATGAAAACAGGGTCTGCCCATAGTGAGGTTGGAGCAGGAGGTAAGCCCTCGAGGAAAGCTGCTGTGGGAAATGAGAGTCTACAGTGTGCTTCACTCAGGCTCATTCAGAACTGGAGAGCCCCAAAGTTGCTATGCTACTGGGAGGAGGATTATAGCATAGTTAAAACAAAAATACTGATCAAAATGTTGCTTCTCCTATTAAGCACATTTTCCAACTGTTTGGTTTTTGGTTGTTTTTTTTTTTTTTGCCTTGCTTGGGGAATTTATTCAGTAATGACGCAGAAGAAAGAATACCACAAATGAATTGCTAAAGTCAGTGTAGAAATCACCTACTGTGTATTGCACCATGAAACTGGAAATGAAAAAAGACTGTGGTTATTCACTGAATAATTTTGATGAATGGTTGAAGGCTCGTTCGTGAGTGGTTAGTTGCAAGTACTCAGTGTTCCAAAGGTAACGTTTTAATTGGATATACTGATGAAATGATGAGCTTCACCTTGCTGGCCATCATCCTTCAATGAAGGCATCCTGGACAGCGTGCTCAGTTCAGGGGAAGTGCATGGTTTGCCTTCTTTCACAGGGCCTGATATTCGTAGAAGGTGAGTAATACAACACTGGGAACACAAAGGGAGCTTCTTTTTAAGGGAATGAAAATTCACTGCATCTTTTTGGCAGCGGCTGTCTGCATTTACTTAAATGGGTGATGCAGGGCTCTAAAGCTTTTAAATGATACCAGATCCTCTGATAAAAGACACAAGACTGCAGCTTTTTTATTGCGATGAGACAGGAGTTAATAAGATTACTCCTACTCTTCAGTTACTTTTTCATCTTTTGCAGCCAAATGCTCTTTTTTTTTTTTGTTAGTAGGCAAAAGGAGGTCAGCTCATTTACAGGGTGTTGTGCTAGAAATAAACATTTTTCCCTCAAGTGGAACTCTGAAACCTAGGCTTAAGTGCCCAGCTCCTGAAACACCGGTCTTGGAACCAGAATTGCTCTTAGTGCTGGCATGCTGCATCCCTGTAAGGATCACTTCTGTAAGTTTTGTAAATTGTTAGTTCTCTGCTTTGTTTTTTAGCAAGCTTTTATGGGAGAGGTAGTTAATGAGAAGGAAACTTTAAACAACAAACAAACAAAGAAAACCCCAAACTGGAACAAAGGAGAGAAAACTTGCCGAGGGAAAGAGTTAAAGCCATCTGCCCGAAAGCATTGTGTGAAACTTGCACACAGTGTTGGGGAAATAAGCCAATTATGTGTGCTTCACAGGAGGTGGGGGACTGACCTTTGTGTATAATTAGTTCTTTTATTTAAAGCAAAGATTTGGAATAGAATAACTAATTAGCTGTCATAAATGGCAAATGGAGGACTTGGCCGACTCCTGGGGGAGCTGGGGGAGGTCCTCCTGCAGCTGAACGACTGGGCTCTGCTCACTGGGTGCTCCTTTCTGCATCCCATCCCACAGAGGCGGTGGTGGCAGTGCTTCCTGCAGCCCCTTGGTACCAGAGTGGGCTGAGAAGTCCTGCTGATGTCACCTGCCCTGCTCTTGCCTGCAGAAAGAACAGCAAGGCTGCAAAGCCTCCAGGCGCCTATCGTTAGCCAGCGGTCCCACATCGCTCTTCCAGACCAATTAACCTTTAGAGTTGCATTAAAGAAATCAGGTGGCGAGCTTCCATGCATTCAGAGGGACCAGTCACTCTCATGCAGATCAGGGCACTACGGAGATGTACTCCTTAGGACCATAGCAAATAACTGTTATTAGAAGGTCCACCATCTATAAGAAAGTTGCGGGGCAGTCTTGGAAACAAGGCTTTATGAGCATTGCCCTTAGAGGAGTTGCAGCTGATTGCCGTGTTGAATAGAAATGTCAGTAAAACAGGCTAGAAAAACTTGGAGGTGTGCTTAGTGGGCGCTCATCTTACAAAGCCAGCAGAATAATTTTGCAGGAGGACCCCAGCTGAGAAGATATGGGCTGATTACAGCTGCTTCACCCGCCTGTGAACGGAGGTAAAGTTTAGATTACTGACTGCAATAACTGCCTCTTTAGACACAGCCATAAATTTAAGTATGTCCAGAGGTGGCGTCTATAATTTTTTAATGTGCATTGGAGCTCTGAGCACTCAGAACAGGTTTTGTTTTGTATTAACCAGCAGCAAGTCTATTAAGTTGTAAAGGGCAAAGAAGGGAGCGTAGGCGGCCAAGAATAGAAATGCTTCATCCACCACTCGTAAGGAAAGATGGAGATGGAAGATGAGCGCCATGGAGTTCAGCTGATGGTCCTTTTGGAATGTAGTGACCGGCCAGCATTCTCCATCACTGTGTGTGTCAGTGGATGAGTGCCTATCTGTCTCGCTAGCTCTGCACTGCTGCTCTTTGCCTTCTGGGTGCACGTGGCTGGAGTGAGCCCTTCTTTCTGGTTAGGGCACCAGAGTGTTACCTCACTGAACGGGGGATCTTGGTGGAAAAAATCTGCGCAGAGGAACAAAGCAGCACTGTGGTTTTGCAGTGGGGAAATTTCCAGAAAGGAAGAGCAGCTCTGCAGGTGGTGGCTTCTGCCTGCAAAGTCTGGCTTGTTTGGGGTTTGCTGGAAGGAGGCGGGCAGAGGAAACGGGTTCAGCGCTGGCCGTGCCCTCTCTCCACTCACCTCCAACTGCGAAAGGGGTTAAGCTTCTGAGATGCTGCTCTCTTGTTGCTTGGAAATGACATGGCAGGCATGCGAGGAGACCGTGCTGATGGAGTTTGGCAGTTTTTGAAATTTTGTTTCACGCCTTGCCTGCTGTGTCAGCTCACCAGCTAATTGCAGCCGCCGCTTGGCCCGGTGTGTGTGCTCTGCAGCGCTGGGCTGGCGGAGGGAACCTCACAGACCAGGATGTAATTTCAAAACACTGAACCTGACCAGCAGAGGCTGACCTTGCTCGTTATTATCTGAGTGGGAATAGCAGCTTTGAACATCATATGATCTCTGAAATGGTACCTTTTTTCATTAGAAAGCCCCCTGCTGAAAGCTGACCAAATACATTGCTTTTTTCCTTGCTTAAGGTACTGTTTAAAAATATATATATCTGTTCCTTTGCTAGTTATTAGAAGAAAATCAAAGTAGTACATTCCCCTTCTTGGAGGAAGCCTCTCGTAAGACAATGGAGTGCTTGGAGGAGCAGGGAGCCGAAATGGCAGAGAGGCAGGAGGGCTCAATGGTTCCAGTTATCCAGAACCAGCATTTTGAAACCCCCATTTGTGTCGTCCTGGGTTGCACGTGTGCTGCTCAAAAACAGGTTTAAGTTTCCACTTCATTACTGCATATTTGCCACTCACATCAGAAATTTGCCGATGTTGACTTTGCCGGTGCCGCAGCGTCGAGCAGGAGGGCTCTTTAAGTCTGGAGACTTCTGCAATGTTACTTGACCCGTCTCCGTGCTGCTGGGACTACTTTGATAACAACCAGATCGATGCCTCGCTGTTGGCGTGGAGGTGTCTTAAGTGCTATTGTCGTCTGCTCGCGGCTCTGACAAAGCAATTATTACTGTACGAGCGGTGGGTTTTACATGGGCTGCGCATTAGCCACCACCACCGGGTCACCCTGGCTTTTAAGGAAAGCAGCAAATGTCACTTACTGCAATAGCACTGGCTTGTTCCATTCGGGCCAAGGGACTGTTAATAATTCCATTATCAAGCTGTTACTTTCTGGGACATCCAGCTTGCTACAGGAACTGGCCTAACTTCAGGTAAGGGCATACAACCAGTGGTGCTGCTACCCCAGCCACAACGTCTCATCTGCTTTGCGTTGGTTAAACCTGTGTTTCCAGTGGGGATTATAAAGGAGGAGAACCAGTGGCATGCCCCAGCTTTACACCCACACCTCTCCTTTCCTCGCAGCTATATCCAGGCAAGGTGGCGGATGGGGCAGGGCAGGGATGCACATGCTTGGCCCTTCTGATCATGGGCAGTTACCGATGCGAGGGCACTGCTAATGAAGGAAAAACAAATGTTAGAATTGCAGCGGGTTGGTTCTGCTGCAAAATGTTGATAAATAATAACTAAAAAAAAAATAAAAAAACAAAACTTTTTTTTGTGTGTCAGCCCTACCCTTGGGGAAAAACTGCAGGTGTCACGTTCCTACCTACCCTGCAGCAGCAAATGAAGTTCCTCTGACCACCACCTTCTTGCAGCATGAGCTGCAGCAGAATTTGCTCACAGATTGCACTGCTGCTCCCAGCGCATCCCCGAGTGCAGGAAACTTGCTCAAGCTGTCTGAATGTCTTGTAACCCCGCTGTCTGGTTGTGTTGCAGGTGTGCCGATGTTATCCGTACAACCCAAAGGGAAGCAGAAGGGCTGTGCTGGCTGCAACCGGAAGATCAAGGACCGGTACCTGCTGAAGGCCCTGGATAAATACTGGCACGAAGACTGCCTGAAGTGCGCCTGCTGCGACTGCCGTCTTGGAGAGGTTGGATCAACCCTTTACACAAAAGCAAATCTCATCCTTTGCCGCAGAGATTACCTGAGGTAAATAGAGGCATGTAGCGTGGGCTCTTCCCAAGCGCCTCAGTTCGCTGCCAGCTGTTTGCCTTTCTAGCCCTTACTGTGAAAATGTGCATGTGTGCACGATTGGCCCTGCCCCAGAGAGGCTGGAGGTTCTGCCCTAGCTGAGCGTGGCCTTTGGTTTGCAGTTCATGTATTGCATAGTCAGGGAGGTTAGGAAGAGGGCACATCTGAACTCTACTGTTTTACCCCAACAAAAGCAAAAAGATCTTTCAGAGGAAGTAAAGAGGAGGCCATTAATTCTTCTTGAGTATCTATGATGCTATGTTCCTGCACAATGGCCGACATGCTATGACTCTGTGATCTGACCAAGCTTTTACCTTTTCTTTTTCGCTTTCAGCGCTGGCTTTTAGATAGGCTTCTGGTGCTTGTTTTCAGTGAGGCTCCTCCCATGGGGCTCCTGTCTCTTTGCTAAATAAACAGAGCAAAACACTCCAAAATTACAGATCAACTTCAGAAATTTTCTTGTTCGTGAGGAAGTCTGCAGAGACCAACTCTTAAGTTGGAGCTACCCTGTCAGTATGTGTCTGCAATATGTAACAACAGGGCACTTTTTTGCCTGGTGTGTATGGTTTGTTTTTTTTTTTTTACAAACTACTTCCGATAAACACAAATGAATTTTAATAAGGCAGCAGCCCTAATGCAAACATTCTTATGAGGGTCGCACTGCAAAACACTCCAAGCTTTGCTTTGTTTTCTCATCTGGAAGAGTGTACTTGATCTGTAGCCAATGTGTTGTGTTTTTTTCCTAAAGGACTGATAACATTTCTTGAGCAAACTCAGCCAGAACAACAGAAACCGCCACGCTGGTTTCAGAAATGGAGGTGCATTGCTGGCTAACCTTCGGTGTGCAGAGGGTGCTTAGGTAGTCAGGTCCTTCACATATTCCTGAAAATCTTCCATAAATGTTTTCTCAGTAAAAGTTTTACATGCGAGTTTCTCTCTCTAAAACAAGAAACTGACCAAATAGAAGACAGAGATCTAATAGCCACCATTTGGGAGCTGCCGCCTTCCCTTTCTTTGAGGCAATGTACAAAAGCATCCTTCTCACACAAGGACTTTTGCTCACAGTTGGAATGCGTTCACAGGGACCCCCTAAGTCTTTCAGAAGAGCTTCTTCTGGAAATAGTTTTCCTTCCACAAGATACAGGCTGCATTCGTGTCTGGAGTGTTTCTTTATAGATGGTTTTATTAAAACACACATCTTGTTTGCACCCAGCCTGCCAAGCAGTCCTGGTCACTCCATCAGTCATCCTCCTCTTCATTATTTATCACTTCTCCAGACTTTGTTGTAAGTGCACTTGATAAACAGTGTATTATTTTTTTTAATCTGACCTGAAAGATAGATACTCAGTGTTGCTCTACGAATACTACTAGAAATTCTTCAGCTGGGTGGTGATTCCATCTACATTTGCTTTCCAAGACTCACAAGTTACTCTTGTGTCTCATCCATTTAATGAGCACCATATTGATTTTGGTTTGCTCTAGTTTCATAACCAAAATAATATGTATCATCAAATCAGACACATTAGAGTGCCAAAATAGAGCACTGTTGATGCTGTTAAACTTAGAAGAACTTTTTTATCACTGCTCCATCACAGTTGTGGGGCATCTCTTTCTTTTCTTGGTTTATCCTGAGAATACTGCTTGGAAGAAGAAAAATTTAATCCGTGATCTTCTCTCTGGGCCATGGATAGCATGACTTCTTGGGACACACAAGAATTCTGTGTTCAAGGTAGGAAAGAAGCGAGGAGTGCAGACCTCAAGAAGCATCCCACGTCCTGCTCTAAATATTTTTCCCCTATCGGAATGCAATCTGTTAGAGCACTTCTGACTGCTAGAAGTATTTTACTTTTGCTGTTGCTGCTGGGAGATGCATTGTAATTGTTATAACCTAGGAAATTTAACCGAGAGTTGGGTCAGAAGAAAGAGCATCAGTTCCACAACACAGTAATTGGCTTGCATTCAGTGGTTTGGTCAGCTTTACAGCTGTGATGGTTTGTATTCTTGCTAATGAGCAAACTCAAGAGTGCTCACTATGGAGGTTTCTCCTACACCACTAGGTTCTGTCCTGCTTCTGTGGAACACATTTAGCAACAAGGGTCAACGCCATATAGTCCCACATTTTATGGAAGTATAAAACAATTTTTTAACTTAAAGCATCTCCTGTTGTCTTCCACACATAGTGTTTCTTTCTCTCTCGATTTAACTATTAGTTCTATTAATAGAAGGAACTAAAGTTGCTGTCACCATCCTCTTTACTGTCAGTTCACTGCTGGTAATTTGAATTTTTCTTCTTGGAGAATTACCCACTTCCATCATATTTAATTTCTTCCCTTTAATAGTTTTAGAGCCTCAACCCACATCTTTTTCACCTCACTAAACAACGCAAGATATTTGTTCTACTCGTCAAATGTTAGCAGAACTCATTGCTAAAAATAAGGTTTTGTACTTCACACTGCACTCATACCAAGTGCAAGAAGCAAGTACTTTGGAGGACAGCCAAAGGAACTGACTTCCTCTCCATCTCTTTGAATAATAGTGGTGTCACATTATGCTGCTGATTAGTATGTTGACCATCACATGAAAAATAAGTGGTTGGATTGATTTGGAGCCCATAAATGTAAACGGCTGCATCTTTCTTATCTGAAGTCCAAAAGGAGTGCTGTTGTGTAATGGCCAGGAGAACATTGGTGCTTCTCAGTCTCTTTGTAGACCGGTGTCTTTGCGTTTGCCCCTCAGCTAAGCATGCAGTTCAGGATCACGACCTTTGCTATGCACAGAACATGCTTTCCCCACCCTGTGCTGGGGCTTGGCTTACATACCTGCAGCAGGCTGGCTCCTGCCCATGCCGTGACCCCCCAGTGTAGGCACTCACACACAGGAATGCCTGGGCACATGTCTGAGCAGTGAGGGCATGCAGGCTTCTGGGAGAAGCCTGCCTGCTGTACTTCAGGAGTCGCTAGCAGACTATGGCCTGATCATTTGTTTCAAAAGATAAACTGTCGTCATTGCTTGCGAAGGAACATTTGTTAACCTTCACATTTCATAAAACACTTTCTTGCTCATTTTTTAATCATGAAAGATGAAATTGGATCTCGAGCTGTTATCCTTGCGGTATCACCTCAGTCTCCAGCTGTGCCGAGATGGAGCTTTCGATACATTTCATCTGAGCAAATAGATTTACCATTTGTTTCATAATCATGGTTCCAGCATTCCTACCTCTAATTATTTCTGATAAGCAAATGCTGTCGAGGAGGCTGCTCTGGGACACGGCGTCACGTGCAGCTCAGGGGCTCCAACGCATCTCTGATCGCTGCTCCTGGTGCAATTCTGCACTCCCCAGCTCCACTCTGGGAGGTTTCAGTGCAGCGTGGTGATTGTGTGCTGTCTGCTCAGAGCCCACAGTGCTGCTGAATTGAAGTTCTGCTCTTGCAACACAACAGGGAGTGACTTGCATGCTACATAGGGCACCCTCACTTGTGCGCCCGGTGTCTGTACAGATTAAGGAGAATTAATTAGGCTCAAAATACGATGTGTCTTGGCAGCATTGCTCTGCTTTGTGATGTTGAAGCACAGATTTTTATTTTTTTTCCCGTGGTAGCTGGTCCAGGAGTTTCTCATAGCCCATGCTTTTCAGGATAAATAAGAAATGCTTGGTTTGTTTGCCTGCTTTTTTTTTTTTCCTTCCCCCTCCACAACCTCTCCGGAAGGTGAAAAGCTTATGGGGAATATTACTTCCCAGCTATGGAATGCTGACGTGCCTCTTGGGCTTTGAAACCTGCAGTTTGCTGACTGCTGCTTTTAAACTCCCCTACGAGGATGCTGTACCCCAGGTGTTCAGCAGTATAGGGGCAGCCAAGATGGATTTTAGGGTGAGGGCATCAGTTCTAACACAGGAGGGTGGATAGAAGACAAGGTCTTCTACCTGTTAGCTGTCCCAGTTAGTATTGTTATGAGAATACAGAGGAAGAGACAAAAGGAGGAAAAATAAGTGAACATCCATCTGTATTCTTCAGCTGGAAACATATGCCCTTGAGCAACCTTGAAGTTTATGCCCAGTGATCTCAGAACTAGTGCAGTCACACAGCCAGAGGGCTGAGATACTGGGTGGTACAGGTCCTCCCGTTACGATGCCCATGAATGACAAACCCTTGGGCATATAAGATGGAAGTTCCTTGAGGCTGAACTTGAAGGCATCACAGGAGGACAGCTTGACCAGCTTCATTAGAATCAAAATGCACCTCCTCTGCCCCCTCTGCCATGACCTTCCACTGCAGCACTGACAGCAATGTCCTGGAGAGGAGGGTGCCCCAGCTTATGTGTACGTACTGTGTTGAAGTGCCCATTGTGAGGCCTTTTGCTGAGTGTTACACAAATTCTGATTACAGGGAAGTCGGAATCCTCACGTTTGAAGCTGCTTTTAAGGTTCATCTTTTTTATCTTGTCAAGTGATGTTCAGGCTTCCCTGCAATAACTGGTGTGTTCAGTACTCTGGTCATATCAGGCTTCTGGCTCAGCATATTTTCAGTATCCTCAGACAGGAGAAATATTAATTGCAAGCTGCTAATGGCTGTTTGTTGGTCTGTTTCAAATTGTAAGGTCGGAAATCCACTTTTTCTAGCACTGAGATTTGGTCAGCCTTTTTCTTAGGTAACAGTGATAGGAAAAGAGGGAATGATGTCAGGTTGCACCAAGGGATGTTCAGGCTGGACATTAGGAAAAATTTGTTCTCCAAAAAAGTGGTGAGGCATTGGCACAGCTGCCCAGGGAGGTGGTAGAGTCACCGTGCCTGGAGGTGTTCAAGAAATGTGGAGCTGTGGCCCTGGGGGACATGGATAGTGGGCATGGTGGGTTTGGGTTGGTGGTTAGAATGGATGATCGTAGTGGTCTTTTCCAACCTTAACGATTCTGTGATACTTAAATGTAAAAAATGTAGGTACTTCTTTGTAGATTAGTGTTTAGACCTTTTTCAGTTCATAATCGTTAGCTTTTTTGTTGACAAAGCCTATTGTTTTGGGGCAATTCTCAGTCTCAACTCAGCAGTTTAATCTTGAACTTGTGTTGCTTTAAGTAAAAAAAAATGGAAACCCCCAACCCATCCATTGTGTACCATCCATTCTTTACATTTGCCTGTCCTCATTCCCTTTTTTTCTTTCCTTTATTGAAGTCAGCAGCTCCAATATTTTCTCTCTGCACTGAGGGAAAATGTTCTTCCTCTTTCTTGATGGACCATGTAGCAGCCACCAGGTCAGAGGGAAGATGAGGAGCAGGGACTCCTTCATTGTAGCACAGATTGCTGTTTCTAGAGCTGACAGAAATAGATAACGGAGTTCTCAGTTCGGCCCAGTGGCACAATTTGGCTTGAGAAGGAAGAAAGTCTGTAACGAGATGCCATACTGAGAGTCATCTTATGAGGCATATTTTTCCATTTTCCTGCAATATGGACTCCTTGCCATTCTGTTCTCCTCCCCAAACCTGCAGGGTGCCAATGGCTTCAGTATGCTTGGAATCAAGTTCAGGTGTATTCTCAGAGCTGGTGAAGTCTTTGTGCAGAAGGCTACTCTGGAGCACAAACAAAACTTTACCTAAAAAGCACCCTTCAGTCGTTGCATGCTGCTTCCAGGAGTGCTCCCCTCGTTTCCCATTAATTCATTTGCATTCACTGCTGCTCCTGTATGCCAATTAGCTTTAATTTTTACTGTGCACACTGACATCAGCGGCCAATGAGAACAGTGCATAGCGAGGTTTTTAGTGTGCATATAAACTACAGAAAATTGTCCTTGGACAAACTCCTGCTTTTAGACTGGCTGACAACAATAGATGTGGTTAAGTTCAGGCTAAGAGCCATTAAACATAATTACTACCACAGGGTAAAAGTTTAATTGTGTTAAATTTTAAATCTGCATAGTCTGTGCTTATTTACAAGCTGGCTGGGTCTTCTTGTTACATAAAGGGGAATAAATAAATCTGTGCTTTAAAATCGTTGCCTTTTAACTTCAAAAAGGGAGATTTAAAAAAAAAAAAAAAAAAAAAAAAGTGTTTTTAGAAGCAGCAAAACAGCTCCAGAGTGAAACCTTTCTGTATTTCCAGCTTCTTTTAAGCCATTGGCACCAAGCTGGTAAGTAGATGCTGAGCATCTCCTGACAGATTTTTTCTAAAGCGCTTGAACTTTGTGCGTGTGAGTGTGTGAGAAAGCATCGCATCTGTTGTGAAGGTGCCTGGGGGACAGGCTGCAGATCAGTTTGTTCGTGTGGGGTTGTTTGGAATTTACCCACAGATGGGGCTCGTGGTGGAGGGCTTTCATCCACTCCCTCATCCAGCAACGCTCAGCTTTCCCCACCTTGGATTTCAGCTCCAGTTGGTGCTGGGTAAGGAGGGTCAGAGGTGGCAGGTTTGTCACAAGGAAGGAAAAAAAAAAAAAAAAGGCAAAAGTCCATGTTCATTTTGCTTTTCTTCAACCAGATTAAAAAAAAAAAAAGTTTGTTTCTTGCTCATTGAGCTACAAACCACAGCATATTTTTAGAAGCGTGCTGAATACACAGGGCTCTAAATGGCTCTCTGGGAAGCAGATTCAAATGAGAGTGTGCTGGAATAAGTGCGAAATGCTCTCCGATTGGGAAGGGCAGGGATAGAGGGCTGTGAAACTTGCTAGAAAAGGGAAAGATCAGCACATGGGCCGGCTGTGCATCGGAGCTGTGTAGACATCGGAGGCGACGCGGTTTCAGCTGGACAGAACATAAGCTGTAGATCTTATGCAAACAGTCAGAGCTGTTTAACAATCGGTGCACCCCCAGCCCCCTGAAAGGAGACAGGTGAACACGATGCCAAATACATTTTTCATGTTTCTTAAGCTAACTGTTTAAATAGTTAAGTGAACATCTGTCCAAATTTCCCCATCATTTCCATTTAGAAAAGTCTCCTATTTGAAGGCTGAAGAAAAGCGCCTGCTTAACAATGCAAATGGTGCTGTCTGGGGCCCCTTTATTTTGTTTAATCTAGATTGAGCTCCACACAACGGTGATGCTAATGAATAATGGATATTTTACACTTGTGCGCGTAGCAGCGCCGGGCACAGAGCAAATCTAGGATTAACCTCCCAGTCTCCCAGCCTAATGGATCGGGCTCATTTTTTTTTTGAGTTTGCTGTGACTTGGGCGCTCTAAAAACGCACGCCTGGTTTTGTGACAGTGACAAAACCCCACAAAGCCATCAGGTCTCGCCATGCTGAAGGGAGGCACTCGGGCAGGGGAGGGGGCAGGGGGCTGCGCTGAGTCTGATTTGTGGATGGTGCTGGATGGGGGCCGAGCACTGCAGGGTGCAGAGCCGGGTGCGTCTCTGTGCAGCGTTTCCCAGCCTGCTGCTGCAGTGCTGGCCCATGGGAAGTAAAGTGCTCCCACAGCAGGTTGCATGGCTTGAGTTTGGCAGGGCAAGGCGGCTGTTGGAAGTGCAGAGTTGAGGCTTTCCTGTCTCCTTCAGTCGTCATTTGATGGAGTCTCAGGGGAAGAGTATGGAGTTCTCCCATTGCAACTCTTCCATCCTGCAGCATGGTATCATAGAAGATCCCAAGTTGGAAGGGACCCGTAAGGATCACTGAGTCCAACTCCTGGGTCCATGCAAGTAGTGCCAGTGCTTCCTTTTGGTTTGCATTGCTTAAGTTTTGGGGAGAACATGCTGCTGCTTCAAGGAGTTTATAAGTGAATCAACTTTTTACACAGTCTGAGGGTGGTAGGACAAGGGGAATGGCTTTAAACTAAAGAAGAAAGATTTAAGTTGGATGTTAGGAAGGAGCTCTTTACTCAGAGGGCAGTGAGGCACTGGCACAGCTGCCCAGAGAAGCTGTGGGTGCCCCATCCGTGGAGGTGCTCCAGGCCAGGCTGGATGGGTCCTGGGCTGGTGGGAGGCAGCCCTGCCCATGGCAGGGGGTTAGAAATGGATGGAGGTCTCCTCTAACCTAAGCCGTTCTGTGATTCAAGACACTCTCGGGCTTCTTCCACCTGGTGGGATGAAAGGCCGCTGGTACCTGACAAACAAGGGCAGCTTTTTCTCTAGCTTGGCAGTAAGCTTGCTTTGGTTGCACAGCACAGTGCGGGTGGGAGTTATGTGAAGGTTTCTATAACATTGCTGAGTGCTGTAGTTCACAATTACTGGCCAGTAATAATTAATATTGATCAGCTTGGCAAATTGCATGTTTAGAAATTGGTTATAGATTTTCCTGGTCTGTGCGTTGTGGAATTGGCCAGAACCAATGGCTCGAAACGAGTTGGGAGCCTGCATCTGTCTGCAGGCAGCAGTGCGTGGCACACACAGGGCTAACGGGGTGCAGTAGCCATCCTGCCTCACTCTGAGGGTATTTGTCATCCCCAGAGCAAAGCAGCTGACCAAATGCACACTGACCTGGTGCTGTCGGTCTGTTGATTGGCGCCATGGCTGGTCTGTGTGGCGGTGGTTTGTGGGTTGGCGAGGATGGCTCAGGGATGGGGCCAAGGGGAGAACATTGCTGTCTTGGCTGAGTCCCCGGCGGGAACTGTAACAGCAGCAGACATCTGGAGAGACAGATAGTGAAAGGCAAGATGGAAATGGCAGAGCCTCCAGTGCCAAGGGGCTGTCCTCGAGGGTCAGGGAGCTGAAGTGGAACAGCAAAGCACTCTGGTCAGGGCTTGGTATGGCGCTGTTACTCCCAGGAGGGATGCACAACCAGGGAGCAGGGCTCGCCCTCCTCCAGAAGCTTTGCAAACTGGTGCTGTACCCATCACCAGGAAAAGCGTGCTGCTGTGCTTTCAGCATTGAGTGAGCAAGGTTCTTCCCCAGCAGCAGCATGGCGGTGCTGCCTGCTGGGCTGGCAGAGCCGTGGGGGCAAGGAGAGCTTTTGACTGAAATTTTGTGAGCCCCAAAATTGTGCTGCGAGTGTTTAATGCTTTTCTCCATTAGACAGCAAATTAGCCCTGGGCGTGCAATCCAAATGAAGTTTTCGTCTGGATGATCGCAGCCCGCTCAGCAGGCAGCTTTAGCCCGAGCTCCTGCACACTGGTTGGTCAGCGAAATGGAGACCGCGACTTCTATTTATTGGTGCAATACAGTATTTGATACCGCTAATTACACTTAATTAGGCCTTCCACCATTTAATTAAAATGGCTTCTAATGATCGTGCTTCTTTGGCAGGCTCTTTGGTACCACCGGGAATTGCGCTGCCTGCAGTAAGCTGATCCCTGCCTTTGAGATGGTGATGAGGGCCAGAGATAATGTTTACCATTTGGACTGCTTCGCCTGTCAGCTCTGCAACCAGCGGTAAGGACGCGGTTATTGCACGCACCAACGTGGGCTCCGTTACGGCCCTGCCAGCACAGCACCGAGGCGGTGCGGCCGGCTGCTGCCCGTGCCCGGCTCCCGGCGCGGCGGCGGCGGGCGGCACTGACCCCTAGCGGCTCCGGAACCGTTCCTGCCCGCCGTTCCCGTGCCGTGGTCCCTGCTGGCTGCGATACAGGGAGCCCCGAGGGTGAGGTTTTGTCGCTAAACCCCTCTTTACTCTCGCATCCCTCCTGCAAAGGCGTAGTGCGACCGAGGTTTCATTTCCGGAGTGGGAGCTGCGTTCTTTTAGATGTCATCCTACAGACTTCTATGGCGTATCCTCTAGATTCTGGCCCCAAAAGGTGGCGTGGATGCGTTCCTGTAACAGCAGCACGGGAGGCTGAAGTGAGAACCATGACTTTAGGTCAACCTGGAATCAGAGCTGCAGACGTGGGTGCCCAAGTGCCTTTGGGATGGGGCACCCACCTCCTTCTCCAGCTACCAAAGGTTTTGGTGGTGAAGGCTCCTGTCCTCTAGTTCTCTTCCAGCTTCCTTTGGCTGTGTCTATGTACAGAGCGTTAAATGCATCCGAGCAAAATCTAATATTGATACAGAGCATGCCGTGTTTTCATTAGCCTCATTCTCCAAATCTGGGCTTGCAGGTTCCAGGAGGCACACCCTTCCCTATGTAACCAGCCCCTCTCCCAGGACATCAGGGCTCAAGGGACCCCTGGCCGTTCCTGGCAGTGCCATGCACACCCCCAGCCCTCAACACAGCAGCCAGGTCTGAGGAGAGGCAGCCAGGGAGGCTGGTGGCAAGAGTCACTTCTACATTTCTCTTTGGAGGCTTCTGTTAAGCTCAGAGTAACAAGGAGCAGCAGAATGTAATCAGCTGTGTCTGTTCTTCGAGGGACTGAACTGCTGGTGGAGCATGTGGCTTTCAGGACTGTGTGCGCAGTACGGCTCTCAGCTTAAACACTGTTAATTCAAAGTGAGATTGATTTCTAGCTTTTTAATGCAGAAAAAAAAATAGTTGAATATCAGAATTAGTAAAGCAGAGACAGAGAGAGAGAAGTGCGGGCTCAGTGCTCCCTCGAGCCATGGGGCTGGGACCCAGCACGTGGGGCTGTGGTGGGCTCTGCAATGTCCTCGTCCCATTGGCAAGGTGGACACAGCATCCCCTGAACCAGGCTCTAAGGGCATTATTTGTTATCTTAAGAAGAAAAGATGAGCTTCTAACTCTTCAGCAAGCAGACAGGGTGAAAAAGCTACAGGCTGTCAATTTATACCTCTCCGATATTATATGTGGAACTTTTTTGACCTTAATGGTCAAATAAAATTGTTAAATATCACAAGCCTCTCTGTCAACTTCAATACAAACAGAACAATTTACATGGTATATGGAGAGTGGTGCCCTTCGCTCAATGAAGATAAAGGTTAGGAGCCCAGCCATCAGGAAATTTCTATTTGTTGTTCAGCACTGTACACAACGGGGTGAGGAAGGACTTAATAGCCAGTCCTTGCCTGGAAATGAGTGCAAATAATGCCTTACCGAGTGGAGCTGGGGAAGCACGGGACCAACACCTTCACCAAAGGAAGGTCATGCCTAACTAATCTTGTGGCCTTCTATGATGGAGTGACGGCATTGGTGGACGAAGGGAAGGCGACTGATGTCATTTACCTGGACCTGAGCAAGGCCTTTGACATGGTCCCCCACCACATCCTCATCTCCAAATTGGAGGGAAGTGGATTTGATGGGTGGACGACCCGATGGGTAAGAAACTGGTTGAAAGGCCGCAGACAGAGGGTGGTGGTCAATGGCTCTATGTCCAGGTGGAGGCCGGTAACAAGTGGTGTCCCCCAAGGGTCTGTCTTGGGACCGGTGCTCTTTAACATCTTTATTAATGACATCGATGAGGGAATTGAGTGCACCCTCAGCAAGTTTGCTGACGACACCAAGCTGAGTGGTGCGGTTGATACGGTGGAAGGAAGGGATGCCATTCAGAGGGACCTCGACAGGCTGGAGGGCTGGGCTCGGGTGAACCTAATGAGGTTCAACACGGCAAAGTGCAAGGTTTTGCATTTGGGCCGGAAGAACCCCAGGCACCCGTACAGGCTGGGAGGAGTGGTCCTTGAGAGCAGCTCGGCAGAGAAGGACCTGGGGGTCCTGATGGACGAGAGACTGAACATGAGCCAGCAGTGCGCTCTGGCAGCTCGAAAGGCAAATGGGATCCTGGGCTCCATCAGGAGAGGGGTGGTCAGCAGGGACAGGGAGGTGATCGTCCCTCTCTACTCGGCTCTTGTGAGGCCCCATCTGGAGTACTGTGTCCAGGTGTGGAGCCCTCAGTACAAGAAAGACATTGAGATTTTGGAAAGGGTCCAGAGGAGGGCGACTAAGATGATCAGGGGGCTGGAGCACCTCCCCTATGAGGACAGGCTGAGGGAGTTGGGCTTGTTCAGCCTGGAGAAGAGAAGGCTGCGGGGTGACCTCATTGCAGCCTATCAATACCTGAAGGGAACCTACACCCACGAGGGGAGTAAACTCTTCAAAAGGGCTGACAACAGCAGGACTAGGGGAAATGGATCGAAGTTGAAGGAGGGAAGATTTAGGTTGGATGTTAGGGGGAAGTTCTATACAAGGAGAGTGGTTAGGCCCTGGAACGGGCTGCCCAGGGAGGTTGTGGATGCCCCGTCCTTGGATGTGTTTAAGGCCAGGTTGGACAGGGTCCTGGGCAACCTGATCTGAATGTGTGTGTTTGGTGGCCCTGCTAGGCAGGGGGGTTGGAACTACATGATCCTTGAGGTCCCTTCCAACCCGGGTGATTCTGTGATTCTGATTCTGTGATTCTGTGATTCTGTGATTCTGTAACACAGGCCTCACACAGGCTCTGTAACATCACCTGGAGCTCCATTTGCAGGGATGTCCCGCTCAGCTGCCTTAGCCCCAGCCTGCCCTGGTTGCCCTCCACTCCAAGCAGCGTGTCCTTTCCTTCAGTAATAAAATCACGGTGCCAAAACTCCTGTGCGGACTGAAACCGGTTAATTCTGTCTGTCTTCCAGGTTCTGTGTGGGAGACAAGTTTTTCCTGAAGAACAACATGATCTTGTGTCAGATGGACTATGAGGAAGGGCAGCTGAACGGGAGCTTCGAGTCCCAGGTTCAATAGCGATCCCTGCTTCGCTGGAGCACTGTGGATGGGCGCCCGGCCGCGCCAGCAGCCAGCCGTCTGTCAGCTTGCCTGCAATATTTTTTTAATTCTGGTCCAGAGAGGACTATATACATTGTAGTACTTTCCCCCCACCCCCAACACAAAGCAGTTACAATTTTAGATGTACAGTTGTGCCTGCTTAGCTGAGCACTGCATTGCCTGTATGTTTGTGAGTTTCCGGGGTCTGGGGGAGGGCTCTGTACAGTCTGTTTTCTGTATATAAACTGGAACATTTATTTTATGAAAAATGTAATGCAATTTTATTACTGGTGTGAATTAAAAATTATGAATGTTTCCTGGTCATCTTAGCTGTGGTTTGTTCATGTGGTGAAAGGCCGTATTTCCTAGGCTTGATGACAAGCAGGTTTTAAACACATGTACAGATATTCCTGGGACCTGAGTAAATAAAGCAGGGGGGTCCTGCACGTGAACAGGCTGCACAGGGACGTGGTGGAGTCACTGTCCATGGAGGTGTTCAAGAAACGTGGAGATGAGGCACTTAAGGATGTGAGTATGGTGGGGGTGGGTTGGGGTTGAACTGGATGATCTTCGTGGTCTTTATCCTTAATGATTCTGTGATACTTACATGTAAAACTGTAGGTACTTCTTTGAAGGTAAGCATTTAGACCTTTTTCAACTCATAACTGTTAGCTTTTTTGTTGACAAAGGTCAAAAAAGGGTGGATGTCACATGGGGAATGTGATATGGAGTGGTCACAGGCATGGACTGGTTGAGCTGGATGATCTTAGTGGTCTTTCCAACCTTAAAGATTTTATGTGTCACTGAAACATTCATTTCATCGACAGCATAGTGCCTGAGCTTTAAGATCAGACTTAGGGAATCGACACCTTGCTGGTCAAAAGCTCCTCTAGGCCCAGGTTTCATTGGCCTGAGGTTAAGAATACTGAATATTTTTCCTTTGCTATAAGGCAAAAATATTTTTTTTATGATTAACTGATGATGGAAGGATGATAAGAAGGAAGCAGGTTGGGATGAGGGTGCGCTGCAGAATAGTGATAGAAGTGGTTTGTTGTTTTTTTTCTTGATATTCAGCAATCTAACAGGTTAAGCCAACCAACAACCAGGAGTGGGGAGAGGAGCAGAAGACAGTGCAAGAGAAAAGAATGGCTGATGGAGTGATGACTGGGATGGGTGAGTTGAAACAACTCTACTAAGATCACATCTCAGTGGCTCCTATGGCGCTGGCAGCATGGTGTGGTGATGAGGAAGTTGGGGCTGGGGACATGAGAGCAAAGCACAGAGCACCATTGCCCAGGAAGGGATTCCTATCCTGAAAGGTTCAGTTAAATCCTGGCTCACACAAAATACGATGGAGAAATCATGCAGCATCCCTGTCACCCTCTCCTGTCCTTGGGCTGTGGACACGGCCCACCTGCAGCAGCACGTGCCCTTGGGAGTGCTGGGAGTGCCAGTTCTTTAAAAATAAAACTCCCAGGAGGACGATGCAATCAGGATTTTTTGCCTGAATGCTGCAAATTTGCTTAATAGAAACAAGTGCTGGAGCGCAGACCTGCTGTTGAATAATCACTTCCACTCTAAAGAACAGAGCAGGAGAACCTTTTGATGGTGTTATAGTCATCACTTGGCATAAATATTCATTCAAGGAATCAGAGCAGAGTAAATGGCATTTTAGACTCTAATCACTTAGTATTAGCAGATAGCCTTTTTACTGCTAAAGATAACCACTGCTTAATCAGTTTAGTGACCACTGCCGTTCCGTGTGACATTTACGCCTCTGTCTCAGAGCCAGTGCTGGGGATGTGGCTCTGGGTGACTCCTCTGCCCATCCCACACACACACAGCTGGCTTCAGCCTCCGAATTAGCTTCCATTTGCCTCCTTAGCTCAGATCAAAGTGATATTTTGAGTTCATGCTGCGAATGTTGAAATCTGGGATCTTTTTTTTTTTTTTTTTAAATCAGGGCTAATGGCTGATCACAGTACAGCCTGGTTCTGAGATTGAAAACGAGGCGGTATTTAAAGGCAATCAAAAATCTCAACCTTCCTCTCTATCCATCTTTAATGCTGGTGTAATTGCTGCTCGGATTCTGGCTCTTCCTCCAGTCTTAATTTTTGTGTGCATGCATCTGTGTTTCAGATGGATGTTATACTTCCCCGAGCAGCATTAGCATTATTGAACACTCCGCTATTGACAACCCAGCTCCTCTGATTTCATATCTTGCCAAACAAGTTAATCTAATATTAACAGCGGTTTGTTACCGCGTTGTTAGCTTAATTTACTTTACAAGAAATGCTATATTTGCATTTCAGCCCACTTTTATTGGCTCGCAGGCTGTTTCCTGACGCCAAGCAGAGCTGGCTCGTGCTGCTTTGTGCTGCTATGTGTGGCTGGGGGTACAGGGTGGGGGCACAGCCCCTGTGCGGGGCATGGGGGAAGGAGCATGTACTGGAAATGCTGTATTCAGAACAGCACAAGTGCAGTTGCAGCTCTTCCAGGAATACAGCTGAGCCATAGACAGCAGTTTTCCCTGGTGGCCAGTCTATACAGGAAATGGCTTTAGTATGGAAATCATACAGTCATAGAATTGTAGGTGTTGGAAGGGACTTCAGGAGATCATCAAGTTCAACCCCCTGCCAAAACAGGTTCCCTACAGCAGGTTGAGAAGGGTGTTCCACAACCTCTGGGCAGCCTGTTCCAGTGCTCTGTCACCCTCACAGTAAAGCAGTTTTTCCTTGTGTTCAGATGGAACTTCCTATGTGCCAGTTTGTGCCCATTGCCCCGTGTTCTGTTGCTGGGCACCACTGAAGGGAGCCAGGCCCCATCCTCTTGACTCCCATACTGCAGATGTTTATAAGTATTTTTAACATCCCCTTTCAGCCCCGGGTCTCTCAGCCTTTCCTCATACAGGAGATGCTCCAGGCCCCTCACCATCTTTGTGGCCCTGTGCTGGACTCTCTCTAGGAGATCCTTGTCTTTCTTGAACTGGGGAGCCCAGAATGGGACACAGCACTCCAGCTGTGGCCTCACCAGGGCAGAGTAGAGAGGGAGGATCACCCCCCTCCACCTGCTGGCCTCGCTGTTTTTCATGCTCCCCAGGAAATCATTGTCCTCCTTGGCCACGGGGGCACACTGCTGGCTCATGGCCACCTGTTGTCCACCAGGACACACAGCTCCCTCTCTGCAGAGCTCCTCTCCAGCAGGTCAGCCCCTAACCTGTACAGATGCACATGGTTATGGTACTAAATGGCTTTAGTATGGCAGTGGGCAAATCCAGTGCCGGTGCCACTGGTCCCACGCCTCGGCCTCTTGCACAAACACTAGGCCGTGCCCCAGCAGCACAGCACAGCCATGTCTGTGGGGAGACCGGGCCTATTCCTACTCGCAATGCTTGGGAAGGGGAAAAGAGAGATAAATTAGCGTCAGAGTAACGCCACGCAAAGTTGTGAAGGACAATCTTTTTTGCTGTCAATATGCACAAAGAGGAAAAAATTGGAAGCTTTTGAGGAAAAGAAATGCGTCTGAACTTCTGAGTAAATGAGAAAGTATTGAAAAGCGCTGTATTTCTGAGCTCCTCTGAGGTAACTTCTGTGCTCTGAGAGAATATTTCAGAAGACATTTCATTCTTTAGAAGATGCCAAAAATGCAAGACTTGGCACTTTAACAAAACAGAAAAAGGAAAACACATAATCTTCTTAACTAGTAAGTCTTTGAGCCCAGGATCACATTGTTGCCATATAATAAAAAGGAATGTTATGCAGTAATTTGGGCAGTTAAGGATTCTGTGCATACTCAAAATCATGACATTTCAAGGACAATAAAGTTGGCTGGCTCTTGGCCATTGGCCATACGAAGAGAAAACACAAAACGGGATTGTCAGCTGGTTATTCATACCGCATTACAAAACAAGCCTCCCAACAGGCAAACACTCTTTATTGCTTGTGTTTTTGCTCCAGAAATATATTTTTTAATTAAAAAAAAAAAAAAAAAAGTTCTTGCAGCATTTATCTTACAAATGTTAACCCCTTAGCAGACACATCTGACATATTTTGCCGCTGGCTTCTCCACTTTATGAACGTTCAACAATGAGAATAATCAGAAAGAAAACATTCATTTCTGGCACGGCACAAGCTGTTTCCTTTTGAGCAAAGAAAAAAAAAAGAAAATCAACTTGTACAGGATTAACTGTGGGGAATGCTTTGCTTTTGGGGGTGTCTGCACTGAAGTAATGTCTCAGGAAAGCTGCCCTGCAGCCCGAGGATGTGCACAGCCAGGGTGCCCCAAGGCCCCCACGCTCCTTTGCTTTCCTGGCTCTATGCTGACACAATTTAATTTCTCCCCAGATAACTTTATTCTGGCTTTTAAATAAGGAATGAACTTTCTATTAAGTCCTCCTCTTGCAGAGCTGTTGTCCATTTCAGAAATGGCTGAAGTACCACAATTATTGAACTGCTGGATAAAATTGTGATGAAATTTTGTATTAAATCCTGCAAAACTTTTAGGAGGACCAAGCGAGAAGAGGGGGAAAAATCCTTCCTCAGCTCCACAAAGGGCTGCAGGGTTGGATACTTGCGGACTCTGGGCATACTGAATTGGGGGAGCTGGAGCAGGAGCTGAGTGAAATGTCCATGCAGTGGCCCTAAATGATGACCTTCCCATAACAGGGCACAGCTGGCCCAACAGGCAGGAGAGGTGGTTGGTCAGCAACATTGTTGGAAGGATCTTGTTTACCCCACCCATTGGGTGAGCATGAAGTTCTCCTAACGATTGCTCTGCTCAGGGAGAAAGGCTCTGCCAGCAAACTGGGGCTGGGAGTTTGAGAAATGGCTTGAGTTTGTGGAAATGCATTGGGATAGATCCTAGTCCATGAGGTTTGGCTCGTCCCCACGCAGTCCCTGTATCTCTCCCATCCTCCAGGCCTCATAATTGGCTCCCTGCAATTTCAGTGGTTTGTCCTGTTTCCCAGCCCCAGGACCACCTTCCCCGCAGTTCTCACCCCTTGTGCTTCTCCTCTCCTCCCAAACACCTCACTGTTGCTGTTCAAGATTCACCCCACCTTATCATTGGTTTCTGCCCCTAACCCCACAACCTCCCCTCTGGCTCTGCCTGTGCCTATTGTTCCCTGTATTTACCCTGTCCCGACTGCCAGTTCTCCGCAACAAAATGCAATTACCCCTTCTGCAGATAATTAACTTTCCAAGCTGCCTGCCAGCCAGCGGGGCAGCCCTCACTGCTACGAATGGGCTGGATATGAGCTGCCCAAATTTGCATGAGGCGGCTGTGATTTGTTGTGAATCAT